CTCGGCGTCGTTCGGTCGCACTCGACATTCGTCGGCGTTTCGTGAGCCGGTCGGTCGGTGCGATTTGCGTCTCACTTCATGCCGCTCGTACGTGATCGCGTGCAGTTTGTGTCGTTGCCGTTGTCGCTGCTGTCGCTGTTGCGCCGCCGCGCCGCCACTATCATCTCGCTGATAAACTCTTCGCGATGCGGTGACGGCGCCGTAAGATTGACTCGCGTATAATCGCGCGCGCGCGCGCGACTTCCTCGTCGTAGGTTTCGGAGTCGTCGTGCGTGCGTGATATCCGTCTCGCGCGGGTCGCGGATGTGTGACGCGCGTGTCTTTACCGGGACCGCGACAGAGCGTGTGTAAAATGGCACAGGACACCGACGACATCAACCTCACGCCGCAGGAATTGCAGACGCTGTCGGAGCTGGACAGGTGATTAATTCCACCCGGTTCCACGTACACCTCCGCGATTTTCCCGGTTCTCCGCGACCGGGATTAATGTCGCTGCTTTCGTTCCGTCCGTCGGATGACGAGTATCACGACTATCACGTTACTGGTATATAACCTAAAAAAGCGCGTTTGACAGCGCGCTTGTGCGCAACCTACTGACACCGTTTTCGCGTTTCCGTCTGTACCACATTCCGTGGACTTGTCGCGAAATCTCGCCGCGATAACAATGCGCGCGCGGAGCCGAATGGTCAGCGTAGCCGCCGTCTTGATTATTAAATCGCCGGCACGATCGCCGATAATAAACACATGCGTTCCATACGAGTCTCTCGACCGGATGGAATGCGCGCGTAAATGCGGTATACATTGTGAAACTGAAGGCACTTTCTCTCTTGTGTGTATGTACAGCCGGCAGTTCGGTTTCCTCAAGCTCAACTCTCCGGAGCAGGCGAAGAGGAAGGCCTTGGTGATGCGTGCCATCAAATACTTGGAGCGTATGCTAGTTCAGGCCCAGACGGAGAAACAGCGCAGGAAAGTTGATAGTACAAAAGGGTGCTCGGATGACTTCAAGGAGAATGAGGATGAGGATAAGGGAATAAGCATCGATCCCAAGACGTATTGCAAGTTGGGACACTTTCATCTACTTTTAGAAGATTATAGCAAAGGTATAACTTTCTTTTTATAGTATATCTTGTCATAAAACTGTTGGGAATGTTTCACATTGGTTTAAAATTCAGATTAATTTGTGAATCTCATTTAAATCAAATTTTATTTTATAATTGAAGACGTTTTGTCAAGCAGATAAAACTATCTCTTTTAATTCTTCTTCATTTAGAAGAAATAAGTACTTGTTTTATAAATTAAATAGTGAGATATTAAGGAAGATTATAGCAAAAATATAGTTCCCTTTCTGTATTATTTTTTTCTATAAAACGTAAAACAGTTGAGAATGTTTTATGTCTGTTGAAAAAAAATTTAGGCTAATTATATATTAGTCATTTAATTCAAATTCTATTTTACAATTGAAAATGTTCTTTCAAACAAATGAGATTATCTTTTTTTTGTTTTATCTAAATAAACATTTGTATGAATCAAATAATAAAGAATTTAACTGAGTAATTTTAAACTCAAGATAAGTATATCATATCAATAGTTGGGAAACCTAATAAAATAAATGACTGGAGGGTTTCCTAGGGCTTCAAATCCCATTGATTTACTGTATATTTCCTCTCATTTTTAAACCTTATCTTGAGTAAAACAATTTTTGTTTTATTATTATTTTATTTTTTTATTAACGAACAAACCTGCTCTAATGACTATCCTCTTTTTTTCTTGTAACAGCAATGTCGGCGTATCAGAAATTCTACTCCTTAAAAGGTGACTACTGGAAGGATGCTTCATTTCTATATGGACTGGGTCTCGTTTACTTCCACTTCAATGCCTTCCAATGGTGAGTGTGAAATAATTTTATTTTTTCAATATATGCCCTAAAGGAACGATGAATTCTATTATAAGAGTCATGCAATATTGAATGCGTGAGTGTACCTCGTGATCCTAATTTTATATTAGGTAATTAAGTAAAGTAAAATAAATTTAATTGTGAATTGATTAATTGAAATAAAGAAATTTAATGAATAAAATAAATTATAACAAATTTTAATAAATTAATATTTATTAATTAATATTACTTAATAAAACTGATTCTATTAAACTGGCATCCATTCCATTAAATAGACTTGATATTTTTTAATTAAAATTTATCACGAGATCTTAAAGTTATTAAATTCCAAACCTAAAATTGCATTAAAATATATAAAAATATAATCTCTTGGCTGTTTATTCTTAAATTTTGCAAAAAAATGTTTTAAATTTCTTATTAATGTCTTTTAACTAGAGTCACTGACGAAGAATTTATATTTTATATTTATTGGTTTTTTTATTAACATTGCTAAGATAATTGCAAGAGATCTCTCATTTTATTTAAAATGGAAAGTGATAGCTAAAACGAACATCCATATGAGCTATGGGAGTAAAACGTTTGGTTTTACTTCTCGCGCGTAATTGTAAACGTAGAGCAGAATCCCGTGGTTAAGTCAGTTGGCTAGGTCCTAGGCAAGCTACGTAAGGGCGAAGGGCTCAACCGACGAACGGCAAACATGGCCGACATAAAAAAAATTCCGCAATCTCTCTCGTGAGAGTTGCTCGCCTTGAGAAGGGGGCGTCGGCCCTTGCACGACGTACACACATGCAGAGTTCATCGTTCCCGTGCAGCCTCTCTCTCCGTGCATCTTCTGTTTATTTTTTAATTTTGTATCGCACACGTGACACCATCAACTCGCCGATAAACGGCATGCTGCCCTTCCGGGCGCCGATAAGGTGCAGGTCCGAGAGTCGATAAAGTCGCAAGCATTTCGGTTCACTGATATCGGTTCTACCAAAGTTTTTAATTTTTATTCTTCATCTTTTTTAAATTCTTAGAACTAGAAAAAAATGAAGAGTTAGTTAAACCGAAATTAAAATTAAACTGCATTGGTAAAAACAGACATGAGAGAGCTTCACTTTATTTTATCCTATAAAGAGTTTATTAATGATAAATTCTTAACTATAACAGAATCAACAAGTAGATCTTATACATACATATAATCGTATAAAATAATATGAAAAGATTAATGTCTATAAAGACCTAACACTGGTTATATATGTGTTTCTTACTTTTATCATATCAAAATATAAATACATAAATAAACGATAGAGAACGCCAATGACCGGTCTAAGTTTAAATCAGTTTAGATGCTTCGAATAATGTAATATATATTCTTTGTTAAATTTGTCTCATATGACTGCCTAACAAACGAAAATGAATTGAAATGGATTGAAAATTTTCAATCCATCCGAATCCGTATTTTAAATCCATAAAACTAAATTGGATTCGATATAAAAAAAATTTTTATATATGTAAAAGTTTAAATAAATTAAAGTAGTAATTACATGAAATTCTATAGTTATTATTTTAAAATTTATAATACAAAAAATATACGCTAGCTGTATAATAAAGGAAACGTATTAATATAAAATACATATAAAAGCGATTAATTTATTAATTACAAATAAGGAATTTATATATGTAACATTTATTGCACATATTTATGTAATTTTTTTAATGTTTCTTTTAACTATTAAATGAAATAGAATTCATGATAGATTTTTATGGTACAACTATTTTTTAATTCAGTTGAATTAAAACGAAAAACTTTTTATTTATGATTCTGAATGAAGTAGCATTCATGATGCATTTTTAAATGAAACAATGGATTTTCTACTCACAATTTTGAATTGAATAGCATTCATGGCTCATTTTAAAAGAAAAATTTTTTTTTATTCAATTGGATTAAAAAACTACATTTCAGAATTTTGAATTGAGCAGTATTCACGATGCACACACATAAAATATTATAATATTATTTTTAAATTGAAAAGTATAGAAATATACTCCATGCCACTTCTAAATAAATAAAAATGCATTCAAGATTGAAAAAGAATAGACATTTGTTTCATGCAATTTTTATAAATGATTAAAAATACATTCAGGATTATTTAAAAGGATTAATTTTAACATTCATGAATCCGTATGTTTTCTGAAAATCTAAATTCATTTTAATCCATTTCATTCCATTCTCGTTTGCTGGGAGGTGCGCCGAAATCTTCGGACTTTCAATATAATCAGTCCGAGACTAATAATTATTTCTGCCTAAATTAAATTAGAAAAACTGTAAAGAACTTATATTGCGAAAAATATTACCTCAGCTAGGGTTTGAACCTGAGATCTTAATATAAGGATGTCCGAATGTTTCGGCGCGCAATCATATCTTGAATAAATTGATTTAACAGAGAATGTATATTGTATTATTCGAAACATCTAAGTTTTGATTATTCATTGATGTTCTCTATCCTATATAAGGTTGTCACAGACAATTCTATCCAAGAAAACCGGGAAAAATCAGGGGAAAATGTAAAAAAAGTCTGGAATTTTGAAATTTGCTCACAATTTCCTTAAACTGCTCCTATTCCAGATAATTATTGTAATTTTTTAATATCTTTTTTTATATCTGACGTTTATAGTGAAATACATTCAAAATTTGCATACTTTAAACGATTTTAATAAAATAATTAAAATTTATATTTTATTCAATATTTTTTTGATCGCCCTTTTTTGTAACTGCATTCTTTTTTCCAATACTGATTTATTCTTTATTGGCTCGAATTTGCACCCAAAATTTTAATATACTACTAAGCCTTTTTTGCGTTATTTTTAATAATATAAGCTAGATTTCCTACAATTCTTTATAAATGTGTTAAAATGTATATATTTTACATTGGAAAGTTTTCCATTCTCATCTGGAAAACTCGGAAAAATCAGGGAATTAAAAATTTTTTTTCTGTGGCAACCCTATAATTTATCATGTATTCAAATGTATAGCTCGTTCTTAGTGTTTTCAAAATATGAATGTTTCGATTATAAGTTTAGGTCATTTCCAATATAAAATTATGCAGAGAACGTTAATTACATTAAAAATCTTAAACATTAAAAATCGTCTCATAAATGTGTCGCAAAATTAAACATTAGATATATATGTTTCGTAAAAAGATTCCTGTTGTCGCACACATAAATGTGGCGTTGAAGATGTAAAAAAAAGTAAATTGCAATTATAATACATTAAACTGAAATAATATTACATTTGATCTTATACATCTCATACACATTATAATATATTATTTCAGTTTAATATATTATAATTGTAATTTACTTTTTTTGACATCTTCAATACCACTGGAATCTTTTTACGAAACATATATATCCAATGTTTAATTTTACATTTATGAGATGATTTCTAATGTGTTTAAGATGTAATTAACGTTCTTTGTATACATACATATCTGATAGCGTTTGTCGAGTTACTTACGGTCGGTAATTATTTTTTATGATAACGTGACTGCGGTGTCGGCCGACAGATGTCTCTCGTGTCGCGCGAGCGACTCCGCGACGTGTCTACGTGCCGAACGGCAGGGCAGTCATGGCGGCGCCGCCGCCGTCTGATTGGTGTAGGGTGTTGCGGGGTGCGGGTGCGGGTCGCGGAGGGCGATAATAGGCCAAATATGCACGTCTCTCGTGGAACCGAAATAGAATTTCAGGAGCGCCGTATATACGTAACTCCAACCA